GGAATTTTAATTTAAACATTCTTCCCCTAATTTTGGAATGAAAGGGTTGCCCAGGTATGTGACATATGATCATCACATATCCTCAAGGATTTCACGGTCATCCACCCTACATCACCTCTTTCCAAATATGATTAATCAATGCATGTCATTCTTGCCTGAAAAATTATATTAACCAAGTGTATCGGTCATTAGAATGTTAAAAATGCGGCCAGAAATCTGCTACACCCTTATAACAGACTTTTTTGATGAGTATTAAATATATGTAGCCTATAGAGGTACATGCATACACATGTAAATTTCGCTTTTAATTTTTTTAATCATCGGGTTCGAAATGCCAAAAATGTAGAAACAGTGTAAATAATCGAAGCTGCTGGCGAAGCTTCAAAACGCCAAAATTATTATTTTGCGTCGAAATGTAAGCAAGTATTTATCAAGAAAACCATATATGGCATGCAAGTGATTTTCTTATAACTGCAATAATGTAGCCCTCTCCGATTCTGATTTGATAAGGAGAGAGCTGACTGGAAAATTTGTCACTTTCCTAAGTGTTAAGAACAAGAGGCCCAGGGGCCACATCGCTCACCTGAGCAATTGGCTAGGAAAAAGCACATATTATCAGATCAGAACTGAAAGTTTACTGGGGGGGGGGGGGGGGGCTTGAATTTTAAGCCCCCAGGGGATCATGATTTGAACAAACTAGAATCTACACTACCTGAGGATGATTCCCTATAAATATCACTAAGCATGGCTTTGAAGTACTTGAAAAGAAGATTTTAAAAGGTTTCCCAATATATTCCTATGTAAAACTTTTATCAGTCATTTGGCCCCACCCTACCCCCGGGGGGTCATGATTTGAACAAATTTGAATCTACACAACCTGGGGATGATTCCACAGGAGTTTCATCTTTCCTGTTTCGATGGTTCTTGAGAAGAAAATTTTTCCTATATATTCCTATGTAAAAATCTGATCGGCCATTTTGGCCCCATCCTACCCCCAGGGGTCATGATTTAAACAAATTTGAATCTACACTACCTGGGGATGATTCCACATGAGTTTCATCTTTCCTGGCCCAGTAGTTCTTGAGAAGAAGATTTTTAAAGATTTTTCCTATATATTCCTATGTAAAACTTTGATCGGCCATAAAATTTGGCCCCACCCTACTCCCGGGGGTCATGATTTGAACAAACTTGAATCTACACTACCTGAGAATGATTCCACATGAGTTTCATCTTTCCTGGCCCTTCATTTGAAAAACTTGAATCCCCTTTACCAGAGGATACTTTGTAGCAAGTTTGGTTGAAATTGGCCCAGTGGTTCTTGAGAAGAAGATGAAAATGTGAAAAGTTTACGACAACAACGACGACGACAACAACAACGACATACGATGGACAAATTTTGATCAGAAAAGCTCACTTGAGCCTTCTGCTCAGGTGAGCTAATAAAGTTAAAATTTGTGAAAGTGCAAGGATGTGTCAATCAAACCTGCCAAAAAGTTTGAATAACTTTTAAATGAAATTAAGATTTTTAATTTAGTTTTGTGTGAAATGTTATTAAACGTTAAAATATGTCACGTCATAATATTATACAGAAGATATTAACTTTAAATATGAGTTCATCCACCTTTAAGTGCAAGCATGCAACTTTTTTTGTTATATTTTAGAGATATAAACTGATCATTTAGAGACCATAGGGAGCCCAAGGATCCCATCTTTCCTGCTTACAGATATTTGTAGAAGGAATAATTATGAAAAGCCCTCTAACCAAGCAGCTCACTCAGACTGATGTGAATGTGAACAGCCTCAGGATTAAGTAGTCCTGTCAACCTTACTTGAACACAAGCAGTTCTGGTATACATCAGTCATCATCTCAGGCTTTCAGCTGAATGTGAAATGAACAGTCTTGGAGTTCCTCAGTCATCACAGCCTACTGTTAACACGAACAGCACAAACAGCCATGGGACACAGCACCTCTTTCTGCCTCCTATGAACATTTACAGCCTTGGAGTGCATCAGTCCAGTCTGCCTACTGTGAACATGAACAACCTTTCACAGCTTAGATTTCCTTTTGTCATTTATCCTGTGAACAATCTGTGTAATATGGTGCAAGTTCCAAACAATATAACATTTCCCTCAACAAACAATGCCCAAAATGCTGAAAATTATATGACAGAAGCTGATACCAAAACTACCACCTTATCCAATCTCAATCACAGTACTGATATTGCACCAGTTACCATGTCCTTTTACCAAAACTCTGCTGTTACTGTCTCCGACTCAAATGTTATAAATAACACAACAGTCAACAACTTGAAAATTCTGAACAGTGGTGTACCTCAACATGCTCAAGGTGCTTTTAATCATTGCGTAAATGTGCAGACACCAGGGCTTCTGAAACAAGTATTAAATGTTCCTAATGCAGTGGCCCCACTCTTGTTGGTACCAAACAGTGCTGCGAATCTGACCGTAACCAAAAAGTGTTTCAAGATAAAATTGACACCAATTAGGCCTGCACCCCAGAAAAATTCAACAAGAGACAACCACAGGCCCACACAAGGCACAGAGTCCCAGAACAAAGCATTACCTGAGAACACTTCAAAAACACTATTACCAGCAGATGTGGAGGTTACAGAACAGAGCTTTCCAGTCATTTTTCAACCAGTTCAGGAGCAAGATTCATTGCCAGAATTGGAAAAAGTTCAAGTAAAAATGAAGGAAAACGCTGTAGAAAATAAAATGATGTCTTCCACTTCTAAAGGAGAAGATCAAAGGGTTGAAAATAGCTTAGAGGCATTACAGGTAAGCTGGGTGTAAACAGGTGTCTAAAAATCTACCCTATTTGGGGTGAAGAGAAAAAAATCATATCAGATAACAGGTAGTTAAAAAGTAGATTTAATTACCTTTTCCCTTGAAAGATGGTCTACAAAGTTCTTCATCAATTGTAAACTTTTTATAATTGACTTCTTTTCAAGAATCACTTAGATTGATTTTAACCATTAAGCTTTAGCCACAAAGTATCCTTGGTGAAGGGGTTTCAGTTTGAATTAGTCAAATTAAAGGTCTTCTTTGAAGGAAAGATACATGTATATAATAAGGAATTAGTAAAAAAAAATAATAATAATGGCATCTTGCCATTTCCTGGATAATATAAATGAATTTACTTTTGTGAGTGATTATAGATCTAATACTTTCACTGTTTCACATGTTTCATGAAATATTTTTAGACAAATAAGCTATGCTTTAATTATTTTTTTTTTCATTTTAGAAATGTTGCAAGAAAATACCTGAATATGATAATTATGGAAAAAAAATTACAAATCCAGAGTCATTTGCTCAGCATGAACATGACAAAGAGGAAAGAAATAGCAAACATAAGGAAATAGGAAACAGGCCAAAAACAATCATAGTCGTGATTGGGCAAAATAAAAAAGGGACTGCAGTGCATCCAGGTTCTGTGAGATTTAGTCAAAAGACATCTGTGAGGAGGGTGAATAAATCCTATGATTCTGTGGATTGTGAAAAATCCTATGAGAAAAAATCTTCAGATGATTTGCATCTGAAACAGTCACACAACACTGTTAAAGAACAGAAATGCAATTTTTGTGGTAAATCTTATGTTTTATCCTCTTTCCTTAGACTCTCTCGCTCAAGAAACAAACGATTAGCCTGTGATAAATGTCTGAAAACAATCAATTTAAAATCTCTTCTGAAAAAATGCCAGAAAAAACGTGAGCCTGAGAGGTTTCCATGTGATGTTTGTGGAAAGATTTTGAAGAGAAAGTGGAAGTTGGAAGATCATATGAGACTACACAGTGGTGAAAGGCCATTCCCCTGTGAAACTTGTGGGAGGAGATTTTATAGTCAGTTGGCCAGAAGTCGACACATGGATATCCACAATTCCTCCAGAAAAAGACTGTGCGAGATCTGTGGGATATTCATCAAGTGGGGGTCGTCATTGCGGCTTCATCAGATAAGACACAGGATCAATGATGATTTGAGCACGAAGGAAAGATCCGACATTGCAAACATTCCTTATGTTTGCGAATTTTGTGGCAAAGGCTTTTGTAAAAAGTCGCCATATGAAAAGCACAAAATAAACAAGCATGAACGTAGGAACAAAGTCAAGAAAACTCCCGATGGTCGAATGATATGTGACACTTGTGGAAAGTCATTCTCCTGCAGCTCAACTTATAGGCGTCATATAGCCCTCCATACAGGAAAGATGAAAGTAACTTGTGAAAAATGTAATATGGTGATGCATAAAAAATCCTTGAAGAGGCACATGTTGAAAATACACAAAAAAACTTAATACCAGTCTGTATATTTTTCATAAATAAAATCAAACAATGTATATAACAAGTACAATTTATTGTATTTCTTTGATATAAGAAGAATGAATAATTGAAACTTGTCAAACAATTGTAATTTTTTCAATATTTAAAAAGATAGTTTAATTATACAGTGTCCTTATATTTTCAAAATAATCTTAATTTTTTTTTCAATGAAATAAAATACGTGTAATACGAATAAAACATTGCTACTGGCTGGTAATCTTTATATTTACAGCGTTCGAACTCACAGCTTTCCGTTCATAGAGCTCTCTCTCTCTCTCTCTCTCTCTCTCTCTCTCTCTCTCTCTCTCTGTTTATTACAATCATGCATGCAGTTTGTCCACTCTATGTTCATGGGTATAAGGAAAAAGTCCCAACTGAATATTATTAAAAAACACGCACGCCAACTCTCGATTCCCGCCTACATTTTGGAATCATTTACTTCAATATGAATAGCAATTTGGCCATAAAATCTTTGTTTGATACAAAGAACAGTTAAATGATGATTGATAAATCGTCTTAATATCAGCGCCAAACAGTAAAATTATCCATAATTCCAGCTCTTGAAAAAGGGGGGGGGGGGGGTAGACGATATTTTCAATTGAAATCTGAGTTTCAAGCATCACTGTATTTTGAAATAGTTTTGGATATGATTAAATGTTCATTATATCGTTTCTTATGTTATAGGCAAATAAATTAAACATAAATATTTCAAAAAAATATAATGTTTCAATTGTATATCGCTTTGAAATTGGTGGAAAATAAGCATTTTTATCGGGGTTTCTTTTGTCAATAAACATATGTCTCCCCCCCCCCCCCCCCCCCCCCCGTGTCACACAAAAAGCTTTAGTATGAATTTGTGAAATACCATTCCATATTACCTGTAAAAAGGAATTTTTGTGACAAGGGGGGAAAGATGTTTTAAAAATATTTTCCGTTTTCCATTGATTTCTATACTGAAAAACACAAGTTTTACCAAAGTTTAAAAGTTATCTGACTTAAAGTTTGTTTTCCCAAATAAGTAATGTTTTGTGAAAATTCATAAAATTATCTATAACAAATATCAAAAATTCATTGAATATGTTAACTTTTGAAAATTGACTTGGAGGTAGGCAATACTATCGTTCGCAGTTCAGCTTTTTATCCTCCATATCTCGAATTCCGGAATACCTCGGGAGGTATCTGAGGATTTGAGATATCGAGGGTTTGAAGGGGTTTATTTTTTGGCCCCTTTGAGTTTGAGGTAAGGTTTTGCCCTAATCATTTAATTTCTGTATAATAATGGATTCTGATTGGATGAAAAATTCTTTTGATATTGAATAATGGGTGGGGGCGCAATTTACACACTTGTAGTAAAGCAAGCTTAAAGTGATCTTGGAGTTGGACAAACCTCCGGGGATCCCCCTCGAAAACGCATATCTGTCAGTGTTAAGTTCTTGAGATTTTACCATGTTTACATGTCACTTTGACTGACTTTGTACATAGTTTTTTGAAATATATTATTAAATATCGGAAATGTGCCAAAAAATTATAAATACCGAAATGCCCCTTGAAACTACCGAAATTCCCACTTTAAACTTAATTAATTTGGTTGATATGAAAGGTAACTACGTTGCGCACGAAGTTTGTGTCATTTTCGGTAACGTCAAAATGACGTTATTTTATGTGAAGTTCTAAAAATTAATTTGACGTTGCTTTTTTTGCTAACATTTTTTATGAAGGAAAAATATAAAAACAGTAATGCCGCCAATTATATAATGCAGTTCATTGAAAACACGTACATGTAATTAAATTCTCTGCCCTTTTGCAAGCATATTGCGGAAGCTAAAACATATAGGCAGAATTTGCTTCATTTATTGAAAAGCTTGGTAGAAAAATAAAACTTGTTCGACATCGCATTTTAAATTTAAACGCTTTTTATTTAATTGAGATAACTTCAAAGCAATTCCATATCATATCAGTAGACGCTAGAACCTTTCCTTTGTTTTCAGTAAACTGTACGATTGTAGATAGGAATTTTTTTTTCCGTTCAAAGACCCTATTCCCATGCCATCTTTAACCTCCACCATCATGCATGCACTCAGACCCTTACATACTGAATACATGTATCTAACAGTACACTAAATATTTAAAATAATTCAATTTCAAAAAAGGTGAGGATTTGAATCTGAGAATGGACCCCTCCCGCACCCTCACTTTAACTTGTCCATGAAAGAATTTTTAATGAAGTGCAATTTAGAGGGTTCACTTGTATTATTCGAAAAAAAATATTTCAGTTTTCTCCTCCCCCCTTTTTATATGCGTTGCAACGTACGTGCCTAGCATCAACGATCATAGTTTTCTTACTCCTTTAGATATCTGTGCAGTTTACATGCTTTTTGTGATTGTATGCCTTTTTCATACTTATAAATGGAAGTAAAGAGTGAGTCAAAGAGCGTTTCGTTCAGATTTAAATAATTTTTTTAAATTGATGTTGATGTTGAGGAATTTTGGTGACGGAGGGGTCAGATTTTAATCAGATTAAGGAGATTGTAGATGCATTATCCTTTCCCTAAATGAAGGATATGGAAATAAACTAGATTTTGATTAAATGAACGGTCATTTAGTACCATTTTGGTCGGTTTAAATGAGTTTACAATCATTAAAAAATAAGAAAAAATGAAACATTACTAAATAAATTATCCCCACACCTTTTCCCCAAATATAGACTTAGTGTAGACATCGAACATTGCCGCGTAGGTTAAGCGCCCCCGCCTTCCCAGTTTCCACAGAATGTTGCAGTATAGGTTAAAATGTGGAAAATTGTAGTGTTTGGAAATAAAGTTCGGTACTGTACGTCAGAAGTCTTAAGAACCTATTCCCCCATCCCAACCCCTCCACACGAAATAGGATGTTTGTGATTTGACAACGTACATATTTTCTTTTTTTTTGCTTGTCAGGTTTTTGTAGGTCTAAAAATAATTTCTTACACCCCCACCCCCTCCTTTCAAATTTGCTTAAAATTTCAACGCGCCAAAGGTTTTAATATTTCGGGGGATATATTGTTACATAAAGTACATGTACAAGTATATTTTTCAAGAAATTCCATGATTTATAATATTAACTATGCACTGATCCCCGGTTATTGTTGATTCAAATACAGCAGCATATTATGGCAGAGGTTTAACACCGATTCAGGTGAATGGTGTAACCCAAGGGCCTATTGTTTATCATCGGGTTCGAGATACCGTGCTATCTTATGGGACAATGGACGATTTGGATTTGCAAGATCTCTCTACGATGGCATTGTTACTGTTAGAGTATTTGTTATAAAGGTATGTATTTACAGAGTTGAAACATTTTTTTCGGTTTCCATACTGCTGAAATTTAAGCAAAAAATATTTCTTATGTTTTATCACCTAGTCAGTACTAGCCTACTCGGCCCGCTCAGCTGTTGACCTGTTGCTTTCTGAATGTCAACAACGTTGAACACTTACTTGTATATATATTATGTTTAATTTATATAGATCTATCATGTTACTCTTTAAAATTCTCTAATTTTAACACAATATGCCACAGGGGCATCTTATCCGCTCTGTTTCTTTTTATATACATGAAATGCCAAATATGGGAAGTAGAATACAAAGCAGATAAGATGCCCCTGTGAATATACGAGGGGTGATAAAAAAGTTCGCAAACTAATTGAATAACTTTTAAAATATTTTTCAAAGTGAGATTTTGAATATTCTTTTTCAAAGTAGGCCCCTCTAGCTCTTAATTTATTAGAGCTGAAACGAATACCATAAATCAACATTCGAATATTCGTGACTGTTATTCGATTCATATTCGAACATTCGGTGATTAATTAAGAGTTATTATGCCTTTTCATATACTTGCAAATCCTATTGTTTAATACTATATATCAATGTATAAGATAGGTGTAAGAAATAAACGTCTGTTCCAAGCCGTTTGGCATCTAAATGTGCATTAGGACTCGCGTTTATTTTCAAGAAAAAAATACTAGAAAAAGAATCTTTATTAACAATCATAAGCCTCTTCACTTCTTTAAATTAGGTGACTGTATTGCATTTCGATTACGTATAAAGCCCCATCAGCAATCCAGCAGGTGCTCGCCATGTTTTATTGTTATGAAAATAAAATAAAACCCCCCAAAAAGGTTCGTTTCCGGAAACGTCCTGTGAATTTTTTAATCAATATTTAAAGTTAAAATAAAACATTCTCAAAAAATATACCGGTAATATAATGTATATTTTTCAAATATGATTTCTGCAACTATTTATAAATTATAAATCCGAACAATCGATTCCGTTTGTTGATCCGGAATATTTCTCTCCGCACAGTATAAATTTTTTATTACTTTCTAAAATCATGGCGGTCAATTTCACCGTATCTAAAGTAATTTGGAGATACATGAGGTTGCTGAATATTTGGCTTGAAGATGATTAAATAAATCTGACTTTGTGTATTTATCAGGCCAGTAGTACCATGTGAACAATGTTTACAACCTGCCTTTTACATGTATTTGCTTTCGTTTGCTTCTTTTTCCACCCTGATCAAAAACAAGTGGATAAGCGTACAACATTTATTGCATGAAATACGTTGTATTGAACATGTGACCGAATATTCGAATACAAATTTTCCACTCGAATATTCGTGAAAAACTATTCGTTTGCGAATGTTCGAGCATTCGTTTCAGCTCTATAATTTATGCACAATTCCCATGGGGCTGTCCTAGTTAGAATAATCTAACTGTGTCTCGGTACAAGCCCTCACCACAGTTAGAATACGTCCCATATACAGGGTGTTTCACAATATATGTCACACATCTAAAGAAAGATGGATAAATGACAACAAAAGCTACATTAACATATTGTATATCATTTTAATCAGCATATATTCAAAATTATTTTTTTGAGTCAGAAGTATCCAACATTCTTCACTTCAGTTACTATGGCAACAAATCCTAAACTGTTATTTTCCAAGTGTTTTCCCAAAATTGTCCTAAATAACTTAAGAGACTAATGCTTATAAATTTCTGACCACTGTTTTGTAAGCTTCACAGAATACTTGAGACAATTTTTGTTTCATATTGGCTTTTTAGAACCCCCAAAGTGCATATATATTTTTACTTAAAGTTGCATTGAAATAAATGTGTCGTTACAGAACTTCTGGTGTGTGTTAATTAGTGTCCACTTCTTTCGCTCTTCCTTTCAGTCAACCTTGCAAACTTTAACAGACTCTGAACGTCAGTTGGCTTTAGATACTGAACTCTTGTGTGCAGACACACTTAACTCAAATTTAAGATTTCTAAATACACAAGATACACTTATAGGCATAGTTACAATCCATTTCCCTAAACTCAGATCTATCATCAGGTTTCTAAATGATTGACTTCACTTTGATATTGTTCTCATCTCTTCTTGATTTTGTTGTGGGGGTGGGGGTGTGGTGGGTTGGGTTAACTGTCTTTCATCTTTACATTATAATTTAGTCAAAACTCTCTAATTATTCTTATTTATAGATGAAAACTAGACAACAATTTCTGGTCTGGTTATTTTTCATCATCATACCCTGTACAATATTTAGGATATCGTTCTTAAAATAAAAGTTTACGACAAATTTTTGCTTCGAGTTGAACCCCATTTCGAGAACAGCTGCAATTATGACATCACTAATTAAATCGTCGGTTACTTATTGGTATATTATATTTTTCCCAATAATTTGCAATATCATAATTTTAGATCAATATGCTTACCTATAGTGTTTTGGTATTTTTGGTATCATGCTCGATATTCAGATAATGCCTATTTAGATGTGTGACATATATTGTGAAACACCCTGTATATGGGACGTATTCTAACTGTGGTTAGAATACATTCCATATACTTGCAACGTAGCAAATCGGAGCGGATCCGCTCCGAAACGATTTTGAAGAATATAAAATGATTTGCACTGGGAATAACTACCAAAATAATCAAAACAAACCTTCTTAAGATTGCTTATGCCTTTTATCCAAAAAAATAATCCATATAAATACGTAAATCCAATTAATTTTCTCAACATTTTTCTCTCCATTCAAATGTTTACATTCAGAACTCTCTAGATTGTTCCTAGTAAATGCACTATCGGCCGTGTTTCTTTCTGCTTCATTACGAATACACGGAACGAATTCTATTGTTTAACCGGGTCCGTAGGACAATATCATTTTAACGATAGAACATTCTGTCTAGGGTCTGTCCATGCGCGAATCACGTGATGCAACCCATCAGGTAACAGGTTCGTTCGCCCGATATACCTGTTCGCAGGAGCCCGTTCGCGCAGAGTCTGTTCACCCAAAATATTTTTCGTGCAATATCTTGTTCGCCCTATATGTGGTTCGCCCAATATACATATACTTATATATACTTGTATGTATATGAATTGAAAATGAACATACAAGTATATAATTTTTAGCTCACCTGAGCCGAAGGCTCAAGTGAGCTTTTCTGAAAAAAATTTGTCCGTTGTCTGCCATTGTTGTTGTTGTTGTCATTGTCGTAAACTTTTCACATTTTCATTTTCTTCTCAAGAACCACAGGGCCAATTTCAACCAAACTTGGCACAAAGTATTGGGTGAAGGGAATTCAAGTTTGTTCAAATGAAGGGCCACGCCCTTTTCCAAGGGGAGATAATCATGAATTTGTTAAAAATTAATGGCATTTTTAAAAAATCTTCTTCTCCAGAACTGCTGGGTCAGGAAAGATGAAACTCATGTGAAAGCATCCTTAGGTAGTGTAGATTCAAGTTTGTTCAAATCATGACCCCGAGGCAAGGATGGGGCCAAAATGGCCGACCCTAGTTTTACATAGGAATATATAGGAAAAATCTTTAAAAATCTTCTTCTCCAGAACCACTGGGCCAGGAAAGATGAAACTCATGTGGAATCATCCGCAGGTAGCATAGATAAATGACCGACCCAAGTTTTGCATAGGATAATATTGGAAATATCTTTAAAAATCTTCTTCTCCAGAACCGCTGGGCCAGGAAAGATGAAACTCATGTGGAATCATCCTCAGGTAGCATAGATTCAAGTTTGTTCAAATCATGACCCCCGGGGCAAGAGTGGGGCCAGAATGGCCGACCCAAGTTTTATATAGGAATATATAGGAAAAATCTTTAAAAATCTTCTTCTCCAGAACCACTGGGCCAGGAAAAATGAAACTCATGTGGAATCTTCCTCAGGTAGTGTAGATTCAAGTTTATTCAAATCTTGACCCCAGGGGCTAGGGTGGGGCCAAAATGGCTGACCCAAGTTTTACATAGGAATATATATGAAATATCTTTAAAAATCTTCTTCTCCAGAACCACTGGGCCAGGAAAGATGAAACTCATGTGAAATCATCCTCAGGTAATGTAGATTCAAGTTATTCAAATCATGACCCCGGAGCAAGGGTGGGGCCAAAATGGCTGACCCAAGTTTTACATAGGGATATATAGGGAAACCTTTTAAAATCTTCTTTTCAAGTACTTCAAAGCTATGATTAGTGATATTTATATGGAATCATCCTCAGGTAGTGTAGATTCTAGTTTGTTCAAATGATGAATGCCTGGGGGGAGTAAATTCAAGCCCGATGTGCTCAGGTGAGCGCTGTGGCCCCAGGGCCTCTTGTTTTTCTATTTATTTTCCTTACGAACTTAGAATTTTTTTCTCAAATTCAGATACATAGAGCAATGTTTATAAAGTCTAAATTAATTTTTGATTTGATTCTAATGATTTTTTGAATGACTAAGTGTTTGAACTATACAGTGGTTGGAACGTTATTGTTGACAAACCCAATTGTGTAGAATCGTTCGTGTATCGTGAGTGATCGTTCGTGTATCAGACTCAATCGTGTGCGTTTTTAATTGTGCGAGATCGTGCGTTTAGAATCGTGTAAATTTCGTTTTGTAAGTTTTTATCGAATTGTTATTTGTAAAATAAGCATTTCCCTTGTTTGTTTTTCTTAATTTATTAATTAAAATCCAAATTAAATGAAAAAGCGCAATTTACATATTTGAATTCAGATTGAACTAATTATCGCCCGTAAACAAGCAATATAGTAAGTCGTACAATATTAAGTTCTCATCAAATAGCACGATCAATATTGTGATAAACCGTACTTAGATCTTTAACGCCTTTTTGAAAAATCTGATTTTAATTATTATTCACTTATTATTGTGGTCAAAATAATCTTAAAATATTGAAAATAAATATATTTTTTTTACAAAGAAATAAACATTTCTCAATGCTTACATAACTACATGTAGTTAGTCGAGAAATATACATGGACACGGCATGATTTTCGGGAGTTTTGATTATCTGCATGTGTTTATCTCTTGAGCCTATTTGTAATTAATTAATTTTTAATTTCTGCAAATAAAAAAGTTGAATAATTGGCAAGTTTATCATACATTGATTCATGGGAAACATAAGGGTAAAATTTGTAATTATAATTTAAGTCAGTCCATGCTGCCATTTTTGTTCAATCGTATCCCCCTTTCTGCATATCATGAAATTCAATTCAGTCTAATTATACAACCCACATAAATGTATATCGTCTAATAGAACGTACAAAATCCGTTTTTTGATCGGAGAATTACCTTAGAAATAATTATTATAAATCTAAAATATTAAGTCTTGCATATATTTAGTTACAGAAATATCATTTTCCGTTTTTTTTTTTTCTTCAAAGTCTATGAAATAATATTGATAATTCTTTGAAATCTTAAATAAGTATTAAGCCGTATTTCGTTTTGAAGGTATTGATTCCTAAATATTTTGAACTATTTTGAGTGAAGAATCGTGCGTTTGCGTTAACAATCGTGTAACGTGTAGAATCGTGAACGTGAAAGATTGTTCTTGTAACAGATTTAATCGTGCGTTAATCATGCGGAATCGTTCGTGTAACGTGATCGTTCGTGTAAGTTGTCAACAATAACGTTCCAGCCACTGTAGTTAATTAGATGATTAATATCAATGTTAATTATGGGGGATACATCCTTGTTATTTTTACAAATTGCGCTATGTTTTGAAAACAATTAAAGGGCTGAGTCTTCAGTAGGTAAGACAGCTGATACTAAAACACGTGTGACCATATGCATAACCTCTGACAGATACAGTGACGGTCTTTTTTATTTTGAATGTACAAAAAATTAGGAAAGAAATTCATTAGATTTCATTCTACATTAAATTACGGGGAATGGACCCTGTGCGAACAATTTTTAGGGCGAGCGGACTCTGGGCGAACAAAAAATAGGGCAAATGGGGAATCGGGCAAACAATTTTTAGGGCGAAAGAACATGGAACCAAGCCATCACGTTACATGACCCTCAGCACCTTGTTCACAGCAGTACCAAGATCTTCCCGGGACTTATATTTTTCTCCCCGTAGGTTATCATTTAAACCTTGAAATAGCCAGAAGTCACAAATTGCCAAATCTGGGCTGTAGGGGGGATGAATTAGGTTTTCTATACCAAGTGTTTCCATGGTGTCCATCACAACCCGACTTTTATGGCTGGGTGCGTTATCATGGTGCAGAATGAATCCAGATCTTATCAGATCTGGGCGCTTTCTCTTTACTGCTCTCATCAAATCTGATTTGATTACCCGTGTATAGTAGTCCCCAGTAACTGAAGTTTTGGGTGGTACCATGTGATTTAGAATTATACCGTTGATGTCACAGAAAACTATGAGCATAATCTTCCCTGCTGACTTGGTTACGCGTGCTTTTATTGGTGATGGTGAGGAAGGATGCTTCCAAATTGAACTTTGTTGTTTACTCTCTGGCTCATAGAAATGTACCCATAGGACAATATCATTTTAACGATAGTACATTCTATCTTTGCATTCCCTGGATATGGGTAAATTTCTACTTGATTGTTGTTAACTGTCTTTGGACGCCATTTTTGTTGACCTTTTTTCATTTTACATATATTGTTAATGTGTACGTGTTTGTTTTGTTCAAATCATATGTAGTTTATTTGGAGGACAATCAATTATGAAAACAGTAATCGATAATTGGAATCGAACACCAAAATATGATCAACAATTGATCATCAGCAACAATCGTTTCATCACCATTGAATGATTTGAAAAAAATAATTTAAAAACTTCCTCTTGTATGTACTTTGGTGAAAGGTCATTTTATCATGTTCATAAAGATAAAAATCTCAACGATACAGGGGTGCGCAATCAAAAATATTTCAAGCACCAGCCCACAGACTAGTGGCAACTAAACAAATATTTGCGCTTGCCCTAAGGGTTGCACCCTTCATTATTTATACACTGAATTGACCACGAATTTTTTCCGTTATATCCTGATTATGACAACGAGCACACGGCGGGTGTGACCGGTCGGCAGGGGATGCTCACTCCTCCATGGCACCTGATCCCACCTCTGATGTTTCGGAGGTCCGTGTTTGCTCTGCTCTTATTTTGTATATTTGTATAATGGACGTTGAGATTGAATACTGTTCGTTATTTCCATAACCCTCAACATATTAAGACATCCTGTCACCCGCAGAATTACTCACGTATCAGTGTACAGAATCAAACCATGCATAAATGTAGAATGAGAATTCACCGGGGAAACTTTTCTCATTTTTAGACATTTTTAAAATTTGAGGCCACACTTATTTAATTTCTTGTTCGTCGGACATTTGATGAAAAAAGGACGAGCAGGCTAGCTGTTAAATAATATTATTATTACCTTTGTAGTTGGCAAAATTTTTTTGGCGGGGCATGAAAAAAATTGCGTGGAAAATTATTTTTTTCTGATTTGCAGTGTAAGTAGATAAAAAGTACCATAGATAAAGTTGAAATGCAACAGAAAACAGCAAAGAATTCCAAGGGTGTGGGAATTTTAAATTAATATTATTTTTATAGTTTTGTTTAAATACAAGCGTGCAGGTCCGACGAGCAAAGAATTTTATTGGTGTGGCCTGAGAGGTACTCTTTTTGACAGTGTTGCTAAAGCATTTACAGGTGACAATTATATAATGTATTATTTTTTTTCTAGTTTTGGTGATGTTTTCCTGATGAAATGTTATCATGATGTTAAATTTCTTGGACTGATTGCTTTGTCACTATAATGGACAATGGCATATAACTTGAAACATGAAGAAAGACAGGATTACAACTTCATGTCCAACTCAAAAGAAACAAAATACCCATTAGTGAAATCAGAGATATTGATAGATTGTATACTTATTGGACTTGCTGAAAAATTATAATGGCCACTTGTTCTAACAGTGAAATAAACAAGGAAGTGCCTGATGAATCCACCCCTCAGTCTACTAATTTAGTACCCACCATTAAGAACAAGTTGCAGGAAGTAGTTGTCAGCAGAATGAAAATTGTCAATCCACTGAATGATGTCCACCTTAAAAAATTTCCTAGAATTCAACCTTGTTCAGCTTCTGCTTCCGGTGAAAACTACAGTTCTGATAAGACTTCAATTTCAGATAACCAAACTTCACTCATGAAACAAAGTCAATTGCAAGCAAGTGAACATTGTTCTTCGCTAAATAATTCAGAGAAAGACCTGAAAAACATTACAAGTTCACCTGCAACAATAAGTGATCCTTTAGAGAACACAAACATCCCAGGTCTGCATCCTTCCCAGCCTACAGCTTGTAGGAGAATGAAAAGCCTTCTAACCAATAAAATCATTCAGACTTGTGTGAACACCAACAGCACCAAAATCCAACAGACCTCTCAGGCCCCATTGTACACCAACTGCCTTGGAGTGCATCAGTCATCTCAGGCAAAAGTTAACACAGACAGCCTTCGAACACAGAAGTCAACCAAGCTTAGTGAGAACACAGATAGCATTGAGACACAGCATGCCTCTCTGCCCACCAACAACCTCGGAATTAATCAGTCACTTCAGCCTAGTGTGAACATGAACAACCTTTCACAGCTTAAATTTCCTTTTGTGAATTATCCTGTAAAAAATTTGTGTCTGGTACAGGTTCCTAAAAATATGGTGCTTTCAACCAATGCAAAGAATGCTGAAAATTCTAGGAGAGAGGCTCAAACCAAAGGTACAACACTGTCCAACCCAGTTCTTGTCAACAGTGATGACAAGGTACCAAGTAAAATGCCTGTTCACCAAAACACAGCTGTTACTATCTCTAAACCAAATGCTATGAACAAAACAACCATTGGCAATTCCAAAGTTCTGAACAATGGTATAAGTGTTTTAAGTGCTGTTAATCTAAATCAGCTAAAAAATATTCAGAATAGTTTACTTCCTAAGCAAGATTTAAATGTCACTGGAGCCTCAATGGTACTCAACAGTCAGGATATCACCACAAATTGTTTCAAGAAAACATTAACAACAAGCAGCTGCTCACCCTCACATGGTACGAAGTGTCAGAACAAAACATTACCTGGGAACACTTCAACTGTAGTACCATCAGATGTAGAGGTTACAGAACAGAGCTTTTCGGTCATCCTTCAACCTATGCAGAAAGGGGATCCACCACCTGTCCCAAACTTAGATCCACCAACAGAATTAAAAACTGAAGTAAAAGTGGAAGAGAGTCCCATTATTATTGATGAGGTTCAGTCTTCTGGACCAGTAAGAGGAGAACCACAGGTTGAAAGTAGTCATGTTATGGTACGTATTTATATCTTTGTACATAATGTTATGTTTAATATCAACAGTGTATACAGTTAATTTATTTAACCTATTTTTAGACTCAAATGGCTAAAAAATAACAATTGTATTTTCACTATTTGGAAAAACCGTCGTCCACCTAGCGTATGGAAACGCTAGCCCAACCATATAAACTTTTAGAAAAACCCTTTTTTACTTATTTGTGGAAAACCTAACTCCTAATTTTGTTTTATGGCCTAATAAATTTAACAGGATAATATACACAACGACAATTTTTGTACAAATACCTTATATATACATAATTTCTATGTCAACTGTTAAATAATATAAACCTCATGCATAACAGTTTCAATGTTGTCAGCACTGTACAAGTTAAAATGCTTTTTAAGAGTTAGTACTTACACAGGTTTATACTTTTTGGAAACAAAAGAAAAATCTTAGAATCCTAGTGGATGCACATAAAAAGTTCGTAAGTGGTAGTGTGAAACGTTTGTATAAAATTCCTCTCTCCCGATGTAAACCAAAAATTTATCGTTTCACTTGTTTTTAACCTCATTTAGGAAATGATATGTAGTGTGAATTTTAATAAAAAAATTCCTTATGCATCCTGTTTTGGGAGAGGAGGGGGGGGGGGGTCAATTAATTTTAAAAGTCAGTTTAAAAATTTCCAAACTTGTATGTTTTTTCAATTTAAAGAGTAAAAAATAGAAAATATTTCTAGACCACCTCTCCTCTCTCTCTCTCTCTCTCTCTCTCTCTCTCTCTCTCTTTATATTAGGGTATTCATTGTTCATTCAACACTGAACATTTATTAAATTCAAACTTGTTAATTGTAAATAAATATTGTACTACATTTAACACATAATTGTAGGGCAAAATAAATGTGTATGGGTGATTCCTAAATGGCTCTCTTTTTAATCAATGATTCATTATAAGGTATTTATTATGCCTTATACACATATGTCCTTAATTGTAATCGATAATATACGAAACACAACAAATATTAAAAAGTTAATATATATATTAAAAATAAATATATTTTAAATTTATATGTCTATCTTTGGTTTAATTGTGTTACCCCATTCCTACGCCTCGTATATACAAGAGATGAATTAGTTTAATTCATAGTCTGTTGATATTTTATCATTGTAATTTTTCTTTAATGTTTGATTTTTTTCTTGGCTACATTGAAGCAGTTCCTTCTCTTCGGCATAATGTGCAATTCTCCCTCGGCCAAATTTATATATATATATATATATATATATATATATATATATATATAAGAAATGGTTAAAAAAGAATAGAAAATTACGAACACAGTAGGTTTAGCAAAATAAAGATTATTTTCCACCTGAGATAAACAACACAGTAATATAAGAGAGTTTCGTATTATGACTTAGTTTTTTATGGAAACAAATGATGTTAATGAATTCAATGTTTAACTTGCTTTTTTGTTAGAGGGCTGATCGACTTACACAAGAGTTCATTTGCACAGCCGTGAGGGTATTCGAACTGTAAGGTTACTGTCTCTCAAAGTATATATCAATACTTATTTTTTTTGTAATTGTTTCGAAAAGTCTTTAAAAAACTACAGCGTTTTACCGATAGCGGTGATGGTGCATGATGACAATATTTTTTATGTGTGTGTAGTGGTATCTTAAGGGGATTAAATCGCCACCAAAAGATTTGATGGAAAAAGAGAAAGGGGCTTTCCTAATATTTTGCAAAATGAAATTGACCAAAACCTTTTATTTAAAACAAAATATTTTATATTTGACTTCATTTTCTTTCTTTTATTAAAATAAATAATTATAAACCAAATTTGGCCAACTCCTAGTTTGAGATAAAGGATTTAATAGATGCACGGAGTGCAATTATCACCACAAACAGTGGTAGCATGCCCTTCAAATGGTTTAGAAATCACCAGTGTATCCGGATATACGGATTTTACTCTTATTTGAGTCCAATAGTTAACTTCCGTATAAATAGAATTTTTGTTAAACAACGTCAAAATTTGTAATGGATTTACATGTACACCTGAGAAGTTTTAAACATAAATTTGTATCATAAAGTACACACACAAATGTATGAAAACATTAGTGTCCAACGTATTTTTCAAATCCAAGGCATAAATGTATATAACAAAGGACTGCTACACCTTTATGTGCATGTTCGTCATTTCCATTCTGTGAAGAATGATATTAGTCAATTTCTTTTAAAACATTAACATTTACTTTAAGGATACAATGCATCCTTTGTTCTAGCGAATTTGAAAAATGTGAAAAAATTAGCACACATACACTTATGACAGAATGCCCATTAAGGTAAGCCTGGGTCACAACAATTTGTTGAATAGCCATTGGTTTCAGACAAATAACAAAAGGTCTTTTCATATGCCTCAAATTTAGTCCATTTATATAAGAATGCAACCCTCAATATGTTTGATTTGTGTTGCACTTTTGCAAAATTTATATATAATTCAAACATGACAAATTTAGTCAAAGTCGAATTCAACATTTCACAAAAAATATTTTGACCTGGAAACAGTAAATAGGAAGTGAACTTATTACCATTTTTCTCTTAAAACCTGTTCATTACAAGATATTGCTTCCAACCGGATTTTTTTTTTTTAAATAACATTGATATATAAAAATTCATCACTACATGTATTTTACAATAGGATTAAATGTGTTCCTTGTGTTTAGAAATTATTTTCAAGATCAATGAATGTTTTAATTTTTTTTTGGAAATTTTCACTGCGGCAGTAAAGTTTTTTGCAAAGAATTTAATGCAGCCTGAATGATGAAAGAATTTCTTAGGAAAATTTCAAATCTTGAAATTTCATTTTTAAATCAGTTTTGTTTCAAAAGTCAAATTATCCTATTAAGACAATCAACAATAAGCCAAACAAGTTCATTTTGTTATTTGCATGTACATTAAATCATATTTAATGTATTTTCTAAAAATTAATCTTCTTTTTTTGTCAAAACTTGGTCATGCTAAGGTTTACTGTTCTCATTCAAGTTTTAACTGTCCATTCCTTTAGAAAAAACATTTTCCATTCTTAAAAAGTTGGACATTTTAGTTATACTTCGCATGGCCTTGGTCATTGACATTATTAAAATGGATCAAAAGGTTTACGAATTTAAATATTAAACTACTGGTCACAAGCTAATTTAAATTTTGAAATTTATTTTTTCAAACAAATTTTAAGGTATCTGCCGTTCGAATCATAATTAATTAGAAGTTAATTTTTCGGCACCATAATGTATTTTTCAACATGTTTCATATCAAAACGACTTTGATTTCGGTGTATATATATATTTTTATGTAACTGTTGCAACAACAAATAAACGTTCATGCATATTTTTAGAACAATGTGTCAGCACTGGTACAGTTAAAATATGGCCGGGGCATATAGTGTGTATGTCCGTCTTCGGTATATCCACTGTCCTTCCGTCACAAGCTCAAACTAGTTTCAAAGAAACCTAGATATTTTCACAAACTTCATGTATGTGGATACGTGTGAAACGTTTGTATAAAGTTTTTTCTCTAGATCTCTTTCCTCCAATGTTTAATTAGTGTTTCTCAGTTTTAAATATATCTTCAACTTGGATTATAATCAAGTGTAAAAATTATAACCATTGGGGTCAATTAATTTATCAAGTCATTTTCCAATACGTTTAATTATTTAGATACCAAAAATAGCCCTACTTGGACCAAACTTGCATGGATGATGTAAGGATGGACACTACCAGATAGGATCTTTGACCTAATTGTGATAATTCATCAACACTGACCAATAATAATTCACATTAATATTTACAACAATATTGCTACATTCAACACATAATTAGTAAATAGAAATATAAGTGCCTAAGAACCCAAATGGCTCTGGATGACATATAAGGATTATTATGCCTTATACACATATGACCTTTATTTTAATCAAATATACGAAACACAACAAATTTAAATGGTTAATATATATATTAAAAAGTTAATATATAGTTTATTTATATGTAGCCCTACATGAACCAAATTGTGTGACAATAAAGGGGAATTTAAATTGTTGAAATTAAGGACCTATATTTTCATTTCCAAGTAACTATAAGACCTCGCAACGGGAGATAATCAAGAAATGGCAAAACTAGGGTTGGGTCTGACCTATAAAAATCTCAAGAACCACTGGGCTAGAACCAAAGCATGGAATTAGGGATGGAAGCATCTTGGATGGTAGTTTGACCTAAATTGTTCAAATCATGACCCTTGGTACCAAAGGGCGGGGCCACAGGGATCATCAAAGTTTTACATATATATAAATATATAGTAAAAATCTGTGAAAATCTTCATGGATGATCATCAAGACCCATTGGGCCAGAAAAGCTGAACCTTATGTGGAGGCAACTGGTACTATTCAAGATATTCTGATCAAATTTTGTTCAAATTTTCATGACTTAAACCCAGGGGAAGGGCATTCATGTCCAATGGAATCAAAGTTTTATATAGAAATATATAGTGAAAAATATGAAAACCTTCTCTCAAGAACCACCTGGCCAAAGAAAAGCTGAAACTTATGGAAGCACCCTGGTAAAGTAGAAAATTGTTGAAAACCAATGAAAGGTATTCTCACAAGGATTACATATGTGAAGGAAAGTGGGGCCATAAAAAAGTAAATCTTTAAATGGCGAATCAAAGTTTTACATAGAAATATAAAGGAAAAATCTTGAACTCAAGAACTACTGGGCCAGAAAAGCTGAAACTTGTGTGGAAGCATCCTGGTATCTATGTCAAAAGTTTCTAAATTGTTAAAAAAAATGACCTCCGGGGAAGGGCGGGGTACAATGGGGAATCAAAGTTTTATGTTGAAATATACATGTGAAAAATCTTTGAAAATCTTCTTTTCAAAACCACTGGGCAAGTTAAATTTCAAAAGTGAATCTTAGGTGGAAGCATTTTGGGGTAGTGTAAATTCTAAATTTTGGAACATGACCCCAGGGGAAGGGTGGGGCCTTTAAAGTTGGAATCAAAGTTTCAAATAGAAATACCGGGATATAGGAATTTTTTTTTGGGAAAATCTTCTTCTGAGGAACCATTAGGCCAAAAAAGCTGAAACATATGTGCCCATGGAAGGATCATAGGGTAGTGTAGATTTCAAAATGTCTCAATTATGATAGGTTGTGGTAGGATTATGATGGGTAGATTTCCATTATTTATAACTAGGGGGAAATCTGGTAACTTCAAGGTCAAGGTCAACCCTTTCAGGTGAGCAAAGAAATGTGGCCCATGGGCCTCTTGTTTAACATGTTTCATATCAAATTGTTTCAATATGTAAATATAATATGTAGACACAGGAAAAAAGCACTTAACAACACTTGAATATCAACTTAATTTAATTTACAGGTAGCTATTGTATAATGGTTAACTTACATTTAGCTTTTTATTTTATATTACTTTCATTATAGCAGTAAACCGGTGTCTGCAACTATATAGTCATATTTCACATTGGTGCTAAATTTTAAAACCACTGGATTTTACTGAGAGCAAAGAAACACTTGGGAAATATAAAAATGTATATTAAAAGTTAAATTTTCATTACTGATAATAGATATTAAATAAACAAGCATGATAAAGTCTTATAACACAAAATGGTAATGTAGAAATACTTTTTCTGTGTGGTACATGTACCTGTATTCGTTTTACATTGATGCATCTCCAGAATATGTGGATTTAGGTTCATTATATTAGGACTTTATTTGGCTAAAGTAAGACCTTAGCATTGGGTAGAAATTGATCAAACTATAAAAAGTATTTACCTTATAGGATAATAAACAACAAGACCAATAGAACTCATGTAAACATTATGTCCTCTGGTTACCTTTTCCAATGCATCTTGTACATTCATAAATTGTTCATTAGGGAAATGAAGTAAGGATTTTTTTTGTGTTTTAGAAAAGTCCAAAAGAATGTTTAATAACAGACGAAATAATTATTAAAGAGAAAAATATCACCAAAGATATAATGGAAGAAATGGGCTACAAGTTTTATAAGTGTGGAATTTGTAAAGAGATTTTCAGTGACCCATTAGTCCTTCAGAGGCACGTTCGACAACACAAAGGACTCCAAAGCGAATGCATAAAATGTGCATATTGTGAAAAGATTTTCGCTTGCAAAATGAGTGCATTTGCACATCTGAAATTCGTTCATGGTATCAGCTGCGATAAACCTAAAGCTGGAATGAAAGAGGCTAACTTAGCAACGTATGAGAGGGATGAAGAAGTAGTCAAAACTGTCCGAGTCATTCGAACTAAAATACCAGAATGCAGGAAGTGTGGAAAAATCTTTTCGGACCTGGAGGCATATACACGGCACAAAAAAAGAACAGACTGTGTTAAAGTATCGTTTGCTTGCATTTTTTGTAAGCAACCAGTTCGTGTAGAAACATTTGAAGAAACACAGTTTCCAAAAAACTTGTGTAAAAAGTGTCAAACATTATGGAGCAATCTAAAATTGAACTCTGATACGACAGTGGCACAAAATAAACAAGGGGATGGAAAGCTTACAGATCCAGTGCACCTAAATTTCCAGGGTTCAGGTCCAAAACAAGTCAAGAAGAAGGTAAAAGAGTCATATGTTTGTGATAGTTGTCAGAAATCCTTCAAGCAGAAATCTACCTATGAAAGGCACCTAAAACTGTTGCACAGCACCGTAAAACCATATAAATGTGATTTGTGTGAAAAGGCCTTTGTTTTCACCTCTTCGCTTTGTGAACACAGAGATACACATTTTTCAAAGGCAAGAACAAAAACATTTGCATGTGATAAGTGTCCAAAAACATTCAAAAAGAGATATATTCTTAAACTGCATAGCAGAGACATGAACCTGGGAGGTTTTCTTGTGATGTGTGTGGAAAGATATTGAAATCCAAAAGCAGGCTCAGAGATCATAAAAGATTACATACTAGAGAAAAGCCATTTCTCTGTGAGATTTGTGGGAGGAGATTTTGCAGTAGGATTGCCAGAATTCTGCACATGAATACCCATGATTCCTCTACTAAGATTCTGTGTGAGATTTGTGGAAAACTTCTTGTTAAGTCTTATATTCGACATCATATGGTAAGGCACAGAATCCATGATGATTTGAGTCTGGAAACAAAATCACAAATTTCAGACATACCTTTTGTTTGCGAATATTGCGGAAAGGGCTTTTGTGAAAGGTTGCGATATGAAAGTCACAAATTGAGCAAACATAAACATGAGACCAGTGGCAGTCATTCAGAAGAGAATCACGTAAAAGAGAAAAATTCTGATGCTCGATTTAGATGTAGCACTTGTGAAAAAACTTTCGTCAATAAATCATGTCTTCAGACTCATGAAGCCCTCCATCAAGGATTGATGAAGATAGCTTGTGATAAATGTAATAAGGTAATGCATAAACATTCTTTGAGGCGCCACATGTTAAAAATGCACTCAACTAGTCACGAGAAATGAAAAATTCTCATGCTCGACTTAGATGTAGCACTTGTGAAAAAACTTTCATCAATCAATTGAGTCTTCAGAATCATGAAGACCTCCATCAAGGACTGATGAAGGATAGCTTGTGATAAATGCGGTAAGGTAATGCATAAACATTCTTTGAGGCGCCACATGGTAAAAATGCACTCGAGTGGTATTTAACCTTTATCATGAATGTTAATAAACAGGTTCATAATCATGATAATACATTAGGTTAATGTGTACATGGTGTAAGAGGAGTATTATTCAATAGAATATAAAAATATTCAATAAAGTGTTTTTAAAAGTGTTTTACCATTTATTTTTTTTATATGCTTATCTAAGCCATTGGGCTTAAAGAAGTTTTTTTTATGCTTTAGCAATTTGTATGGTGTGCAGAAGCTCTTTGAAATAATTGGACCATATCTGAAGATACTTCTTAACAAAACTATGCTAGATAAAATTGGAAATACAAACTAGAAAGTTTGCTATTGCAAGCACTGCCAAGTAATAGCGTGTGTTGCCCTGAAGTCTTTGTTATCTTTGTTAATTAACTACTGCTTAATTCATATAAGATATGTTTGGGAAACATTGATGCCCCCGTACAGCAACATAGCAAAGATTAAACTTTTCTTAAACGTAAATTTAATGTTTTGGTACCCAAAATAGGGTATTCTCACTGGAAAAAAGTGTTAAATTTGAAAGTAAATGTTCAGGTTTAAGTTTAATATAAGTATAAAATTCTCCAAGGTCAAGGTCAAAAGGTCAAGGTAATTGACATCCAGTGAGAAGTCTAATGTCACATAAATACTTATGTAGAGTAGGGAAACCCTAGCCCTAACTGATTAGAAGTTATGGCCATGGTAATTTTTTTTAAAAGTAGGTCAAACTCCAAGGTCAAAGTTCTTGTTATCAAATGAAAGGTCTTGAAACAAGAATTAATAAGGTAGGGTTTATAGTTACTTGGGATGAAAATATAGGTCAGATCAAGCATCTGAAGCAAGTCTGGTATTGTCCATCCCTAGATGCATCATCCATGCAAGTTTGGTCTGGGTAGGGCTTATAGTTCCTTGGGAAGGAACTTTAACCTGATCACTCATCTGGAAAATATAGGTCAGATCCAGCATCTGAAGCAAGTATGGTAGTGTCCATTCCTAGATGCAGTCATCCATGTAAGTTTGGTCCAGGTATGGCAAGCTTATAGTTCCTTGGGAATGGACCTGCTCCAAAAACTTTAACCTAGTCACTTATCTAGAAAACGTAAAAAAATATCAATGATAGAAACAAATGGTGGAATGTATCCAGTTTATTTTTCTTGCATATGTATCTAAGAAAGCTGAAAACCTAGGATCCTCCCTCTCGAAATCTGCTGCCGTAAATTGTCTTACCAGCGTTTGGGGAATATGGGTGATTTGCATCAATTACACTTTTGTTGACTCTGGGACAACACTGCGGAAAACTGGACGAGATTTCTTTGCATGGCAGAAAATCAGTCAGAAAAGTTATGTTGAGATACATGTAATTTAAGATCTTTGGCGTTGTCGTGATTTAAATTTTGCTTGTTTATAAGAATTTTTTTAGGGCCCCGCTAAGCGGGCACCCTATAGTGATCAGTCTGTCTGTCCGTCCGTCCGGCTGTCTGTCCGTCCGTCCGAGATCTCTTGTCCGGGGCATATCTTCTCTCTCCTTGGCCCAATCTGGCTCATACTTCACCCACAAAGTGCCTTTGGGTAACTGGTGTGCAGTTACCTTGAACCAGGTTTCTAGGTCAAAGGTCAAGGTCAAAGCTGAATTATATGAAAAATCCTTGTCTGAAGCATATCTTCTCTCTCCTTGGCCCAATCTGGCTCATATTTCACCCACAGAATGCCTTTGCGTAACCGGTGTGCAGTGACCTTGAACCAGGTTTCTAGGTCAAGGTCCAAGCTGAATTATATGAAAAATCCTTGTCCGGAGCATATCTTCTCTCTCCTTGGCCCAATCTGGCTCATACTTCACCCACAGAGTACCTTTGTGTAACCGGTGTGCAGTGACCTTGAACCAGGTATCTAGGTTAAAGGTCAAGGTCATAGCTTAACCGTCCGCCCGAGATTTCTTGTCCGGGGCATATCTTCTCTATCCTTGGCCCAATCTGGCTGATACTTCACCCACAGAGTGCCTTTGGGTAACCGGTGTGCAGTGACCTTGAACCAGGTTTCTAGGTCAAAGGTCAAGGTCCAAGCTGAATTATATGAAAAATCCTTGTCCGGAGCATATCTTCTCTCTTCTTGGCCCAATCTGGCTCATACTTCACCCACAGAGTGCCTTTGGGTAACCGGTGTGCAGTGACCTTGAACCAGGTTTCTAAGTCAAAGGTCAAGGTCATAGCTGAATTATATGAAAAATCCTTGTCCGGAGCATATCTTCTCTCTCCTTGGCCCAATCTGGCTCATACTTCACCCACAGAGTGCCTTTGGGTAACCGGTGTGCAGTGACCTTGAACCAGGTATCTAGGTTAAAGATCAATGTCATAGCAGAATTATATGAAAAATCCTTGTCTGGAGCATATCTTCTCTCTCCTTGGCCCAAACTGCCTCATACTTCACCCAGAGAGTGTCTTTGGGTAACTGGCGTGCAGTGACCTTGAACCAGGTTTCTAGGTCAAAGGTCAAGGTCATAGCAGAATGATATTAAAAATCCTAGTCCAGAGTATATCGTCTCTTTTGTTTGCCCAATCTGACTATTACTTCACTCATAGAGATCCACTGGTCAATGGATGTGCAGTGACCTTGGTCGAAGTTTCTAGGTCATGGTCAGAATTACCCTTTCTGTTTAAAATCTTTGTTTGGTGCATAATTCTTTGCCTTTAATTCCAGTAAATTTATATAACTTGGGATACAAGATAACTTCGATAAATATTAGTAAATTTGCAGTATCCGTGAAGTCGTACTAAATGACTTTTACTGTATAACACAAATGTTCCTCTTCAAAAAAATCCCTTTTAAACGACCTTACATTTTCATGTTCATTGTTGAACGCGGGGCCCTTTGAGATGGCCACCATCTCAATGATATCTAGTTATAATTAAATTTCATTATTTTTTTCAAAGAAAATTCTTGAGAGTGTTACTTTTATTGCTAGCGCTCTCGAGTGCTAGCAACTACGTTAGTCCAAATCCTGGAATACGCATGCTCGGCTCGTGCATTCTGCGGTACGTCCTACTAAACAGAGTACGCTAGTATGATAGTGTACTTTAGAGTACGCTTGTAAAATTTAATAATCTAATGCAATTAAACTATACTTTTTGAATGTTTTTCTACTTAGATTCCTAGGTTTTCCCCTATTTTAGGAGTTATTTTAATTTTTGATTTCAGGTTATCGTCTCTTGTTTGATCCTGATCTTATCAGAGACGTAAAATAGATCCTATTTATTTTGAACATGTTAAAATGTTTCAATTTTAATGTGAAAAATATTTAAATAATGCAAATAATTTAACTTTTTTTTTTAATTGACTTTCACAAGTACACAAGGCAGACTATACATATATATATAAGCAAAGCATATAAACACATATACACGGTAAATGTCTTCATAATTTCATTACTTTACAGCAGTACAAAGTTTACTTGTATACGTGAAAGTTATTTTATTTTATTTAAAAAAAGGGGGGGGGTCAGCAGTAGTAGAAAAATGCATTCAAATGTTTATAATTAGCTAATGTAAATCCTTAAAATCAGCATATAATAACATTTTACCATAAAAACAAATGATTTTTTTTTCAAAGTACATCACAGATTTTTTGCCACTGCCTTTCATATTCCATATATTTGCAACTTTGTAATAACAACACCTTTTCCATAAAAATTTTCTCTATAATCCTCTTTATTAGGATGTCGATACTTACTTTTGGAATACTTTTATATTTACTTGCAAAAATAAATTGCTTTACAGTAAGTATAATCAAGTTTTGTAATTTACAAATATTCCTGTTCTCATATTTACCAAAAAGTATTGATATTTTATCAAAACTACAATGCATCTCAAATTTGTCAAAAACCCATTCTTCAATCCTACACCATAAATCTTTTACTTTGAAACATTCTACAAACAAGTGGTCAATTGTTTCTAAGTCACTTAAACAAAAAGTGCAGGCTGGTGAGTCAATCAGCTTCAATTTAAAAAGATAATAATTTGTTGGAATAATTCTGTGTAATATTTGAAATTGGAGCCAGTGAAATTTGGATTCGTGAGTAACTTTGAAAGGAAGTTCAAATATTTTATTCCAATCAGCTTCATCAAAGAAAACATTATTTTCATTCCATTTTAAAAGAGAACTGATTGGCTCTCTCTTGTTATTTATAAATATTTTATACATATCTTTACACCCTTTATTACTTCTATAAAAAATGAAAGTTGAATGTGGAATATTTGGTCCAATAACCTTTAATCTTTTAATGTCCTCTATTCCTGCATACTTCAGTCTTTTTAATATAGCCCTCTTAAGACCATTATATTCAACAAAATTTGTTTTCACTTTTAAGTTTACTATGGTATTGAAGCTTAAAAAGTTACCATCATTATCGAAAAGGTCATTTAAAA